TTCAACGACAATTTTTCCAAGATTGGATTGTCATCTCTGGCAAAGTTTCCAAGAGTGGATTGTCTTACTATTTCTCTGTTTGGCAATTTTTTCCAAGTTCGGATTGTCATCCTTGACAATTTTTCCGAGATCGGATTGTCATACACCCAATTCCCTATGACAAAATTTCCCAAAGGATTTTCTAGGTCTCTATTCATCATAAATTTTGGCAAAGGTTCCTCAAATGTGGATTGTCATTCATTTCAGTAAGTGGCAAATTTTCCCGAAGTGGATTGTCGATCGACTCTTTTTTGCAAATGTTCCAAGACGCGGATTGTCAATTGTGGCAATATTTTCCTAAAAGGATTGTCGCATAGCATTGGCGAATTTCCAAGGTGGATTTCTTTCAAGAGTTATATTCCAAGATGTGGATTGTCGATGGTAGCAAAGTTCTTATGACAGATTGTTACGAAGCATTGACAACTTTTCCCAAAGTTGGATTTTGGCAAATTTTCCGAGATACGGATTGTCGCTTCATCGTAGCAACATTTCCAAGGATGAATTGTTACGTGGCATTGATAACTTTCCCTTAATCGGATTGTCATACATCATACAAGAGTCGTGTTGACAACTGTTCCCGAAGAAAAGAGGATTGTCATCACCTAAAGCATCAACAACAAAATTCAAGCAGCATTAAGGATCAACAAGCGTTAATCTTCGGTAATTTTCTTTGGAATATTATAGCAACAATTGAGGATGGCTTCAGGCGGAGCAATCTTCGATCATGTTCCCTGGCTTGCGGAAGATGGTCACAAAGCGGTAGACGATCGTTTCAAGCAATGCAATCTTCGATAGTATTCTCTGGCTTGCAGAAGACTATTAGAGCGGAAATTGGAGGCAGTTACAGGCGTAGCAGTCTTCAGGCGGTATCTCCTAGCTTGAGGAAGATCGTCAAAGCTCTTTGTTTAGAGACGCGTGGACATATCATTGAAGCTCTTTTGTTCAGAGACGCGTGGACATATCATCGAAGCTCTTTTGTTCAGAGACGCGTGGACATATCATCAAAGATCTTTTGTTCAGAGACGCGTGGACGTAATAAACAAAAGAAGCACTTTTGTTCAGAGACGTGTGAGCATCAACAGCAGCAAAGCACGACCACAACATCAAAACATCAAGATAGTGTTCCCTAGCTTGTGAAAGGTTGTCACAACGGAAAATGCAGCAACAAACCGGTTACCTTCAAAGACGTGTGCTCGACGGTGCAAGATACACGTTTCTTAACTCTCTTATCTGTTTAACTAACAATAATTTGCAGGTATCGGAATTACAAGAATGATTTAGGATCGCAGAACGTTCTAAATCATTCTCCATCCTAATGATACTTTGACTTTTATTTTCGAAACTTACGTTTCTCCAAACTAAGTCAAAGTGGGGGCTTCTATAGACACCCATTTGTGTCTCCCCAAAACCAAACCCGGTGTAAATACCTTTCATGTCAAATCATAATAGAATGATGTGAAAGTGTGGAAAGTCTAGTGTTGCGGTTAGTTTTTATAAAATTCTCTCTTTCTGTTTTCGAAAACCTATTCTATTTTATGAAAATAGTCAATCCAGTTTATTTTAGTCCATTACAAGGAACCAATAATATTGTAGTTGGATAGGTCTTGAAAATATATTTCCAACGATATATCATAAGCCCAATTCTGATGAATAATGAGGAAGTTATGGCCAAATTACTAAACTGGGTTCGGTTTGATCTTTATATGCGGCCCAATGATCTAGAGGAGGGCCTATTATGAATTATCATTCCTAATGCAATTAGGATTGATTATAGCCTTATAGAATATTCTAGAAGGTTCTTTTGAATCCTAATGTGATTAGGATTGATAATTAAGTTTTATGAGTTTTATTTGCAATAAAAGAAGTGTTTCAAATGAAATTACGATTTTACCCCTTGTATAGACTTTTACGACTTAATTTTTTCAAAAAATAGAAAACGTGTGGAAAAATCGCCTGCAGCGCCGAACGTTAGGCTGTCGCCTCGCGACAAACCCTGTCGTGCAGCGACAGGGGCTGTTATGGCAACAGCGACGTGTTTTATTCCTTTGCAAACTTCGATTCTTTTTTATCAAATCCGGACTGTTTTAATTATAAATAGCGTCCTTAGACCTCCGTTTTTAATCATCAATTCCCATCAATTCTCCATCTAATTCTCACCAACTCTCATCAAGAATTTCTTGATTCTCTCTCTCTCTCTTTTTTCTAAACCAACTTTTCACAAACAAAATTCCGCATTCACAAGATCTAGACATACCTAGCCAAATTCGAAGTTGCCTTCTCCCTAGACGTGAAAGGTTTGGTATTTCTGAGGGTTTGGTCTCAAATCTCTATTTCAATTATTTAATTTAATTCTTTAATTTCATTATTTCCCTTGAAGTTACTAACGTGTGTGTTTTGTTATTAGAAAAAGGTACGAGGCATCCAAGTAAGTACTTTAATTGTTTTTAATTGATATTATGATATAGAAATCATGCTTAGATTGTTATTTTGAATCCTAGTATCATGTTAGGATGTTTTATTGCTTCCTAGTATCATGTTTAGGGTTAACTAAAAATTCCTAATATCAAATATGATTAAAAGAATGCTTCCTATTTTCTTTCTTAATATCTTGTTAGTATCATGCCTAGGATCTTGCTATTATTATGCTTTAACATGATTATGATTGTTATTATGATTATATTATTGTTATTGCTTGATCACACCTTTTATGCATGTTTAAAGGGAATTTGTACTTGTAATCACGCTTAATAAGATAATTAATAATCTTGTTTGGGGTTAATTTGATTATAATTCAAGTGATCGCCAATAATAGATTTATTTGTGCATTAATTTTCAACCAACATAGATAAACAGGTTTAGGGTTAACCTAATGATTGCATGTTAGTTAGAAAGCGCACATGAATAAGAGAAGAATAAAGTACAGGCCTATTATTAGGGCAGGTTCTTTCTCTTTTAGATTGGATTTGTACCTTCATCCCCGAACTTCCAGTCTTGGTTCCAGACCTATTGGAGTTAACGATCTCCTGGATCGTTAAGGGGTGTAACCTTCACCCTGTGAGTGGTTTACAAGTTCTTAAAACTTGTTGGCGACTCTTTTGCTCTAGCTTCCTTCCCTTTGGACGCCACCATGCTTAAGTGTATTATCACAGTGGGGTTCAAATTTGGGGTAATGCTTGAAATATTCCCTACAAGTGTCAATCAAGAAATCATTGTCATCACCCAATGAATCAATCCTCACAAAGAAAAACCTGTGATACCACTTCTTATCAAACACTTTCTCCAAGTCCGTCACCAAAGGATCAACACCATCCTTCAAACGAAGCCCAACCCGACCTTTAACACTAGTCATAATTGTGAAAGGATAGCACAAATCCTTTACATCAATTCTATACCTAACTTCACATTCAGCAAATCAAGAATTCACAAAACACTCCAAGTCTGGGGCAATAACTGACAGGGTGAAACCCTGTCCTTAGACAGAAATTGATAAACAAGAGAAGAAAAAGGGAATGTGTGCCCAATTACAAAGGGGTACTCAAAGAAACACACCCAACCTGGGGCATTCCAGTCCGCCCTCTCCCTAGAAGATGGGATCTTCACCACCACACCATCAAGGAATTGCGCAATAGTGGCGATTTTCTAAACATCATCCTTCGTCATATGAGAAGGATAGACATCCTTAGCAGGGAAAACGTGCTGCGCAACAAGAGTCGGTTTTTTTTACACTCTCATCAGCCCCAACAAACACCAATCTCACAGTAACACCCATCGCAAAACACAAAGGAAGCAAAAAAATAAAAAGACAAAGAAGAGAGAGAAAGTACTTGAAGAAAATTCGAAATTGGGACAAAGAGTAAAATTGATTTGATGTGAGCCTGCACACCCAATGAATATAGCAAGAGAAATAAACCGCCCTTCACAGTTATCGAAGCACTTGCCTTAAAACCGCCACCACGTTCCCTATTTTTGTTAACCGTTGAAATAATTTCCAAAATTTGAAAATTCTCCAATGGCTCCCTGCAGGTAATTTTCATCCTCAATGCTTAAACATAAAAATTAGGGGCAATTGTTGGGCCCGTGTTATCAAGCAACCCAATATAATTAGGGCATCATCCTATGACCAAAGAATACACCAAATCAAGCAAAACGACTTGATTAGAACAAGTATGGCAAACAAGATCAGAATATCAATCACGAAAATACTTGCCAAGAATACACCTGCTGAACAGGGAAACAAGATAAAATCAAGAGGATCTCCGACGTTTGAATATATTTGATATCTTTGTAACCCTAGTTGTTCTTAGGTATAAATAGTATAGCTAGACATTATAATACTCATGTACGCGCACACATACATCAATATAAACTGATTACTCTACTTATTCTCTCATAATTGTGCCCTTGCTGATCAAGGAAGCTTGACCTTTCTCAGTATTGTATCTCTAAACTTAATCTCTTTTAATATAATTGTTTATCTAATGCTTTATTATAGTTCTTGGTTATTGTATTTGATATTTGTAGCTTGATTGTTATTACCCCCAAATCCCTAAGCAAATTCCAAGATGACCTTACTAAGATTTGCCTAAACACGGGTACCATCCATTTTTCCGTCCAAGTGGAGCTCGCATTCGTTTTCCCCTCTTTTTCCAAGTTAGGGACTGATAATCGTTCTCAACACTTTGGGATCGTTAAGGATTCATAGCATGCTAACTATACGTAACAGATTTAATACATTGAATTAAACAAGAACCTTTATTCACAAATAATCTACGAGTACCAATTAGATTAGAGAATATATATTGTTGAATTTAGTAAAATGAAAGGGCTCACATTACATATTTACATGGGTTGAGTAATAGGAACAATTTTTGTAGGTATTCAAAAAAAAAAAAGTACAGGAACAATTTTTATCCATAGGAACAATTTTTGTAGGCATTCAAAAAAAAAAAGTACAGGAAGATTATTTGTAGACAAATGGGCAACACAATGTGTCATGCACTCTTGCCTTAAAAGATAAAATTTGAATTCAGCCGAGGCCTTTTGACTTTTGCCTTAATTTGGTAAACATTTGAAAAAATTATAACCAATAAGATACAATAAGCTTTCTACAAGATTATTCTATAATAAGTATAAAAACACAAAAATATTTTTAGTCAACAGAGCAAGACTGCAATGAGCATACAAAACGTTCCTCGGATTCTTCTATGGCACATTGCCAGAATCCTTCTCTCCCAACGTCACAAAGAAGTTAAGATGGGATTACAGCACCTTAATAACCAAACTGCTATTGCACACTATACATACATAGTTTTTGCTCATTTTTTTGTTAGTGTGCTTTGCCTTCATCCTGATTAAGAATCCGATTCCGAAAATCAGCTACCATAAGAGGTAGCCCATCTCTTAAAGATACCTTGGGCTGCCAGTTCAACAGCTCTTTCGCTTTGCTGATATCTGGTTTCCTTTTGTGGGGGTCATCGGCTGTATTATCTTTGAACGCTATAGTTGCAGTTGGATCAATAGTTTCTTTCACAACCTATTTGATCAGAAGAAATTTTGACAAAATTGAAGAAGAATTAAGTCCGGCCATGACAATAGAACCAATAAATAAATAAGTAAATAATAGGAAATTTTGATTTTTACCACCTTCAAATAACGACTTTGTCGAATTTACCACCTCCAAAAAAAAACATTTACTTTACCACCTCATAAAAAAATTAAACATCAGTTTTACCACCAATCACCTCCAACTAACGGATTCCGTCCAAAAATCCGTTAGTGGGGCCTACCTTGCACATGTGTCGCCATATTATTGGTTAAGTTTTAAAAAAATAAATAAATAAAACAAAATAAAAAATAAAAAATCCCCATCAAGCAACCGATGGTTGCTGCCACCGTCGGGACCCCCACCGCCGGACCGGCTACGACCAGCCCCACCACCTAACCGTTACAACCAGCCCCCACCACCTAACCGTTACAACCAGCCCCCACCACCTAACCGCTACCAGCCAGGGACCCACAGCCACAGCACCGATTTCGACCTCAAAACCCTAGCCACCACCTAACAGCTACGACCAACCCCACCACCTAACCGCTACCACCGCACCGCACACCACAGCCGCGCCGATTTCGACCCCCTTTCCACCAATTTCCGACCTCAAAACCCTAGTCAACACCTAATAGCTACGACCAACCCACCACCTAATCGCTACCACCGCACCGCACACCACAGCCGCACCGATTTCTACCCCTTTCCACCAATTTCCGACCTCAAAACCCTAGCCACCACCTAACAGCTACGACCAACCCCACCACCATCCAAACCCAGACCAGAAACAACCGCCACCCAGACGCGAAACCACCCTGACTCAAAACCACCACCACCCAAACCCAGACCAGAAACAACCGCCACCCAGACGCGAAACCACCCCGACTCAAAACCACCACCACCCACCAAAAACCACGCCAGCCAGACGCGAAACCATCGTGACTCGAAACCACCACCACCCAGACGCGAAACCCACACGAAATTCCGACCAACCGAGGTAGTTGATTTCGTTGCTGGTTGGTTGACATGGAAGATCGGGGAAGATGAAGAAGAAACGTCAAAAATGTGGGCCCTACTAACGGATTCATGGACGGAATCTGGTAGTTGGTGGTAAAATCGATTTTTTGGAAATTTTGGTGGTGGTAAAGTAAATCTTTTTTTTTTGGAGGTGGTAAATTCAATTAAGTGGTTATTTGAAGGTGGTAAAAATCAAAATTTCCTAAATAATATTAAAAAGAAATAAAAATATGAACTAAAGAGAAACAGACAAACATATACAACTTGCATTTGTTTACCTCTGCAAGCTCCAGCATGGTGAATTCTCCAGGATTTCCAAGATTAAATGGGCCAATATGCTCCCCTTCCATCAGTGCCATTAATCCATCAACCTGATAAGACATGATGTATTATCTAGTGTATAAAAGGAATATAAATAATGGTCCATTAAGGAACCATGCGATTTGGTAACTCAGACCATATAGTGCCACTGACTTGGTTGAGATCTGAAACACGTATCACTTCTTCCAACAGAATTCATAGTGAAAAGGAGATTGGAGATGAGAAGAAAATGGACAAGCTATTTTTTAACATAAACAGGCCAAAGTACAGGTACAAGTAAAATAAAGATTATAAGATTCATAACTGCAAAACACATTAAAAATATTATAATGTTGCAAGAAATTTCAAACTGCAACCAGGTAGTTCAGTACAAAATTGTTATTATTGTCTATCTTCTTGCATTGTGGGGCCAGAAAGATATGAAGTACTTGTGTTTAATTAAAAGCATAACCATGATAATTTTTAGAATTTAATCAATTAATAATTAGCTGTATTGGAGAGGCTTGAACAAGTAGCTTAGCTTGTTCCTACTGTGACAATATAAAACTTAGTATCTCTAATTCAATGTTTTCAATAGACCTTGACAGAAGACAGTACAGAAACATTGGTGCATCACAGGTATTAAACAAACTTGGCTAACTACACAATAAGCTCATTGACTTACCAGGTCAGAGACATACTGAAAGCTTCGAGTTTGCTTTCCATCCCCATAGACTGTCATTGGTTCCTTACGAATGGCCTGCCAATCACACCAAGATCAAAAAATTTCATTAAGACTAGACTGACAGCCAAACAGAATGTGTTCAGGAGCATTCGCTCCCTTAAAATGATGATTGAGGATCAAAACCTGAGCAACAAAATTGCTAACAACACGTCCATCATCCAGACACATCCGAGGTCCATAAGTATTGAAAATACGTGCAATACGCACCTGCAAAGAGACAAAATGAAATCACAACATACTTATAATTGAAATAGAAAAATCAACAATCCCCATATAGCAAAACGATCAAGAGATATAGTAAGGATTTTTTCAATATACTCTACAACTAACTAATCCAATTATGGAACATATTTCATTCCTCAAATCAGATACTTATAGAAGGTGACTACTTTATCTGAATCTGCTATTTCAAAAGGGTATACGCTATACACATCAACTGAGTAGCTAAGTCTTAAGAAAATCATTTACAGCTTTGTTCTCTACTCTTTCCTTTTATTAGATGATGTACACGTTCTCAGATAGGGTCCAACAGTCTCCGCTCAATTTTTCCATCCCCCTAATATCCCCCTCCCTCCTCTCTTCCAAAAGAAAGAAAATGTATAAACTTAGTGGCTAAATGAAGCTTATAACAAGCAGAAGATTAACAAAGAAAGCATACAAGCATATACTTGTCTAACAGCATCAAAATTTATAATTGCTAGTTCTCTGTCAATTAGGCAATCATAACCAACTATAAGCAGCCTATTGCTACACACAGTCTCGGGGCAGCTGAGCTACCAGCAATCATATGCTGGAATAATTCAATGAACAACAAATTGTCAACTATTAAGCAACAAGATTTGCAGTATCAACATTGCTGCCATAACAGCTTATCTGCTGTTTCTTAGAATCATTAGTCAATCATGCGAAACAACTCTGGCAGTCCAGTCAATGCCATCCAGAATAACTGGATTAGTTTTTTTTCTGCAGAGTAATTGCTATCAAAAGAGTTTGTTTGTCAAGCTTGGCTGACTATCATTCTGCTACTGCAGGAACCTACATGATCCATCAATCATTGTCTCCAGCAGATGGTATGCCTCCAACTTTCCATTCCAACTGCTACTTATAATAGTAAATCCTCACATTTGCAAGTTCAGGAGGTAAAAAAGAAAGCCTCAGTGGGATCTACTTAGCAGGTTTTCTGCCTTGCCTAAAAGCTCAAACATATGGTTCCCCATCTAGTTTAATTACATTAAAGCACGCACCATACGAGTTGAGCTCACTGTTTAACTTCCTAGGTTTTTGCTACAAGCCTACATGACATTGTCATAGGTAGTTCAAAGCTGAAAGAGAGACCCTTAAAGATAGCTTGAACACTAAAAGCTACTTGTAATCTTGTATATACACGTATACTTCAGATTAATGCACGAAAATAACATGGCATGTGCATATAAGTATATAACTGCAGGAAAAGCATTAGGACATATCAAATCATCAAGTGCTAGTATAAACATTGCTTCCTAAGTAGGTGAAGTAGTAGTTACCACTTACTAGAATCATCAACACGCAAATTAAACATCAGCTGATCTAACATAAAGAACCATCAGAAGAGAACAAGGATACAATTATCAATGCTATAGAGATGAAAACTCCTTCCAATTGACTAAAGCCATAAAGGTAAAGACCCAATGTCTTTAAGGCTAAGAATAAAAGGAAGCACCTGCTCGATAAAAGTAGAGGGGATGGGTGGGAATTGGAGAAGAAGGCTCTAATAGAGAAGAATATAAGGGAAGGAAAGTATTATCTTACTACCATTTGGGAAAACTATAATAAGAGATAATTATAGCAATTGTTGCATACTACAGCAATTCCATATTAAATAGATTTTCTTCAAAAAAAAAAAATTATTTATAAACTTATATTGTATTTATATACTCAATAAAGAGGTTTCAATTTCTCCAGAGTCTTAATAACAGGTCACATTACCTCAACCTCAGCACCTCGGTGATAATCCATTGTTAAAGTTTCGGCAGTTCGCTTTCCTTCATCATAGCAGCTCCTCACACCTAGAAGGTAAAAGCTACTTGAGACATTCAAACACACAAAACAAGAAAATCAAGAAGAAGACATAAAAATAAAATAAAAAACTTGAGCTGTATGCGAAAAATTTCTTACCTATAGGATTCACATGACCCCAATATGTTTCTTTTTGTGGATGTTCAAGCGGGTCTCCGTATACCTCACTTGTACTAGTAAGAAGAAACCTAGCACCAATTCTCTTAGCAAGTCCCAACATGTTAAGGGTACCCATCACATTGGTCTTGTAATCATTATGTCAAGAACCTCAACATTTTCAATTATGGCAAACGTCAAGAAACCAAATGCTAACTTAGATCCTAGCATAAATTCTATATCATTAAGCAAAAATAAACACACACAAAACAAATACTTCATACAAGATATAGCTCACCAATTCAACAGCAAAAGGATATGATCGTTTTGACAGGATTGTACTTGTAATGAACCGGAGACGCCGGACAAGCCAAGTGATAAATCTGATCCACTTCAAGCAATATCGGTTCGACAACATCATGACGGATCAATTCAAACCTCGGATTCCCAAAATGGTGAGCCACATTCTCTTTTCTCCCAGTAAAAAAATTATCAATCACAATAACATCATCCCCTCTTGCAATTAGCCTATCTACCAAATGACTCCCAACAAATCCAGCCCCACCAGTCACAACAATCCTCATTCGCCGCCTTCCGATACCGGCTGGCACTCTCCCAACCTTCCCACCAATCCAATTACCCTGACCCCCATCATACGAAGCCAGGCCATTACTCCCTAACCTACCCGAAACCGCTGTTTTCGGAAAATTCGAATCTTGGTGACCAATTCGAGATAAAGTAGGTTGCAAGATGAAGAAAGTTGAACCAATTAAAATACCCACCAAAATAAACAACAATCTTTGCTCTCTGAATATATAATTTATGGATCTAGGGAAGGATCTATGATATTTTTGCGATTTTGGCGAATATGGTATATTTTGTGACATGGGTATTTCTTCATCCCTCCTAACACTATTTCCACTACTTTGTTTGTGAAGTTGTTTCATTTTATTCAAAGTTCCAAATACAATCAAGAAACTTCAAATCATATGAAAATTAAAATAGAATAAATCTAAGAAAAGGGATTTAATTTAGACGCTGAGATGAAGATATTACCTGAGAAGGAAGTAGTGTGCAGGATATAAGTCTGAAAAAGGCATGAAATTTAGGGTTTTGTAGAGTAAGAAATGAGTGAAAAAGTAGCGGAAGCAGTTGCCATTGAAGAGGAGATTAGCGTGGGAGAAAGAGTCTACTTATTGAAAAGTGATTACACGGAGTGTCACACAACTCACAAGTGTGAAAATTAAGTAAAGGCCCGCCAAAGGGTCCTTTTGATGAGAATCATGCTCGTCCCTAAGACTAACTCATACCAATTGCAATTTCTTAGGTGCATTCAATAACAAGATAACACCACACCGTCACGGGGTACACTTTGAGTCAGGTGTACTTACAATATTTCTTATTTCTAATACGAGAAGCATATAGAGTAATTATACTTTGAATTGATTACTAACTTCGTTTTTAAATACTTGCTTCATTTCTTTATGCGCAGAGTTAGAGAAAGTGGAGAAAGTAATAACACAAAGTTTCATATGTGGCTGGTTATACTGTACGGCCAGCCACAAACTTTTTTATTTTTTAAAAATTCTTTTTTCTCTCTCCTCTTTTCTTCTTCTCCTAGTCCAGAACCTTCATCTCATTTTCTCGTAGAACACAATTTGTCGCAACCATCGTTGATAGCCGTCTTCTTGGTTCTTTCGTCGGTATTCGTTCATCGGAGGTGGTGGTTTCTCTAGGTGGGTAGTGGTGGTTTGGTGACTCTGTCGCCGAAAAACAAGTTTAAGGTTTTTAAGGCAAAATTCAGCCATGAAAACTCTAGATCTAGGGGTTTTAGAGTTTTCATGATCGAATTTGGCCTTTATATCCATATTTGAAGTGAAATTCGAAGCCATTGTTAACTTTTTAAGGTATTTGTTCGATTTAAATTTTTTTAGTGGTTTGTTTGATCGGGCTTGTTTGTGGGTTAGGGGCTAGTGGCAAGGCGTTTGGGGTTGGGGCTGGTGGTGTGGGTATTGGAGTTGATGGTGTTGTGGGTTCGGTCAGTACAACTGTTTTGGGTAATTTTACCCATCCCACGTGTGGGCCAACTGGGTGGTGACACGTGTCATACCCAGGTTAGTCCAAATTGGACCAATCCCCATTTGAACACATGTCATTCCCAGAATCTGGGAGAAAAAGCGGCCTTCAAGGTCCCAAATCCCGAGAAAACCGTAATTCGGCGCAGCCTAATAAAATTAGGTCAGAGTGACCTAATCAGGGGCACATTTCTCGATGACCCTATAAATAGGGAGATTTTTTTCCATTTTTGGGACACCTACAATTTATTACAACATACCCCACATTCTCTTAAATCGGAGAAAACACGTGATCTCGGAATTCGAGAAGATCTCATTTTACTTTCCGCACCTTTTTCATATTCTCCTACCCGTTCTAACTTGACCGTTGGAGGCAAAACTCCAATCACCCGGAGTCTCTGTTGTTTTGCATGTACAAGTGTAGTCAGACCAGTCTTCGAGCTGTAACTCTCCCGAAGGACAAAAACACCCAAAACATTTGGCGCCGTCTGTGGGGAGACCACCTCAAAGATGGTTCAAGAGTCTGTACCACCTCCTGACCCCAATGATCATCTCGAGGCCTGTACAGACCATGAGGATGATGATACTCAGGTCGAAATATATGTGGCCAAAGATGGGTCATTCAATTCTAGGCGCATCCGTCCCAGGGATAACCTGGAACGAGGAGATAGCCAGGCGGGAACAAGCAGGCCCCCAGGCAGCCAGAAGGGGAAACCTAGATGGCAAGAGGTTAGGCTCCAGTCACCAGAGACGAGCTCATGAAATTCATGACAAGTTTCAAGGGTGAGATCAAGGACCTAGTCAGTTAGAAGACGACTGGCTCTAGCAAGGGTCAGTCGCCCAAAAAATCTCCTCGAACTGCAAGGAAGTAGTCAGTCAGGGACAGGCAGCCTACTCCACATCTCAAGGAGAAGACTACGCCTACCCTTGACTGGTCAAAGATTCTTCTGCCCTAGACGGACACAAGGAAGGTCATCCGTGTTGTTCAGCCGGATGGTAGGAAAAGACTTTAACTGATGCTCGACATGTTATCGAGTGAAATCGGAATCAGCAATTTTCTGAGTCAGCCTCTAGCTCAAGCTTTCCAGACAGCTTCAAACATACATCTGTCAAGAATACTCAATCTTTGCATGAGATCCATACAGGCGGCAAGTCCGTCCACTCTGGCCTTTAGATGATTGGGAATTCCCTGTACATACCCCCTACGGTTTACAGCCAATATTCTCCTCATATGCAGCCGACCCTCTTCGGGGGGCAGGCCACATATAATGTCTAACCTTTTGGACTGGCGTCTTCGTCTGCTCAAACTTAGTGAATAAACCTCTACGTTCACCAAGGAAATAACCGAGGTGGAATAGTCGGCCAAGGTTAAAAATGTGTTGGTAGGTGCCTATGATGGAACCACCAACCTGGAGGACGACCTCATGACCTACTCCAACCTTATGCACATGTAGGGGTTGGAGGATGATATGTGGTATCGCTGTTTCCCGGCTACGTTGAAGGGCATAGCCCAATAATGGTTCGGCAACCTGCCAACCGGGTGCATTGACAACTTCAGTAATCTTACCTTCCTGTTTGCCTCTAACTTCTCAATGAACATCCCTGCCAAGAAAACAAGTCTTGACTTGAGCACCATACGGCAGGGAGAGAGAGAAGGGCTTCGCTCCTACGTCATACGGTTCAATTTGGTAAGAATCCAGATTTAGGGGTTGTTTAACGAGGTAGCCTATACAGACTTCTTCAAAGGTCTGAAGGATGGGTCGACCTTTAAGTCTGACCTTGTTCAAAAGAGGGTTTTCACCCTTCCAAAGGCGTTAATAGAGGCAGAGAGCTTTATTCAAGTCACCGAGGAGGAGTTAAAGGAGCTAAGCAGGCAATTCTGTGCGACTGCTACGCGGCCACCGCGTGGACGCGCAGCCCTGTTAGAACCCGCGCAGCCAAGCTCAAGAAACAGAGCCAAATTAGAGAGTTTTGCGCGCCTATTATGTGACCTCTGCGCGGGCGCGTGTAGACACCCATTTGTGTCTCCCCAAAACCAAACCCAGTGATGAGTACCTTTCACGTCGAATCATAATCGAATGAATTGAAAGTGTAGAAAGTCTAGTGTTGCGGTTAGTTTTTATTTCTTTTCTTTCTCTCTGTTTTTGAAAACCTATTTTAAGAAAACATCCAATCCAGTTTGTTTTGGTCCATGACAAGGGTCCAATAATAGTGTAGTTGGGTCAGGTTCGAAAATACCTTTCCAACGATATATTATAAGCCCAATTCCGATGAATAATGAGGAATTTATGGCCAAATTACTAAACTGGGCCCGGTTTGATATTTATATGCGGCCCAATGATCTAGAGGAGGGCCTTATATGATTTATCATTTCTAATGCAATTAGAATTGATTATAGTCTTCTAGATTCTTCTAGAAGGTTCTTTTCATTCCTAATTTAATTAACAGTTGATAAATTGACTTTAGTTGACTTTTTAGAGTTTTAATCAGAATAAAAAAGTGTTTTTAAGGAAAATACGATTTTGCCCTCTAGTACGGCTAAATTTTATCAAAATAAGAAAACACGTGGAAAACTGGATTCCAGCGCCTGGCGACAAGACCAATGCCTGGCGCCAGAGTCCAGCGCCTGGCGCCACTCCTGGCGTCTAGTGCCAGAGTCTAGCGTCTGGCGCTACGTCTGGCGTCTGGCGCCAGATCCTATCGTTGGCGCTACAGTTGTTTTACTTTCTCTATAAATAGCCTCTTAAAACCTCCGTTTTCAATCATCAACCCTCTAATTTTCTAATTCTATCTTCTAACCAATTCTCATCAAGAAACTCTTGATTACTCTCTTTCTCTCTCTTCTAAACTAGCTTTTGTATACAAAATTCCGCATTCACAAGATCTAGAAACACCTAGACAAGTTCGAAGTTGCCTTTGCCCTAGACGTGAAAGGTTTTAATTTCTGAGCCCAAATCTCTATCTCAATTATTTAATTTAATTGTTTTGATTTATATTTTTCCTTGAAGTTACTAACGTGTGTATTTTGTTATTAGAAAGAGGTATGAGGCATCCAAGTAAGTGATTTAATTGATTTTATTGATATTATGATATAGAAATCATGTCTAGATTGTTATTATGATTCCTAGTATCATGTTAGGGTGTTTTGATCTTCCTAGTATCATGTTTAGGGTGATAACTATAATTTCTAATATCAAATATGACAATTGTGTTTCCTGCGATGCTTACTATTCTCTTCCTAATATTCATGTTAGTATCATGTTAAGGCTATATATTTGATTTTTATTGCTTAGTGACATGCTAGGGTTTGTTATTAATCTTGTTAGTATCATGCCTAGGATCTTGCTATTATTATGCTTTAACATGATTATGATTATTGTTATAATTGTTGTAATTATTTTTATGATTATTAATATGTTGCTTGATATATATTTATTGTTATTTCTTGGTCACACCTTTTATGCATGTTTAAAGGGAATTGGTAATTGTAATCACGCTTAATAAGATAATTAATAATCTTGTTTAGGGTTAGTTTGATTATAATTCAAGTGATCGCCAATAATAGTTTATTTGTGCATTAATATTCAACCAACATAGATAAACAGGTTTAGGGTAATCCTATTGATTGCATGTTAGTTAGAAAGCGCACATGAATACGATCAGAATAAAGTAGAGACCTATTATTAGGGCAGGTTCAATCTCTTTCAGGTTGGATTTGTACCTTCATCCCCAAACTACCGGTCATGGTTCCATACCTATTAGAGTTGACGATCTGCTAGATCGTTAAGGGGTGTAACCTTCATCTCGTGAACAGTTTACAAGTTCCTAAAACATGTTGGCGACTCTTTTGTTCTAGCTTCCTTCCCTTTGGACGCCACCGTACTTTAGTGTATGATCACAGTGGGGCTCAAGTTTGGGGTAATGCTTGAAATATTCCCTACAGTTTTTGGCGACTCCACTGGGGAGGATTTCTATTTTAATTCCTGAAATTTATTTCGGCAATGATTTAGAATGAGTGGATGATACTCGAAAAGTTCTAAGTATTTTATGTGCGTAATTTTAATTAACATTTATTGTCATATGCATAAAAAAGATCTCATTGGAAAGACCATCCGTAAGGAGTTAAAAACATAGGATTTTTACACGTAGGGAATTTGGAGAAT